TTTTTTATTTATTGTAGAGATGAGGTCTCACCAAGTTGCCCAGGCGGGTCTTGAATCCGCAGGCTCAGGCAATCCACTCACCTCAGCCTCCCAAGGTGCGGGATTACCGACTGAGCCACCGAGCCTGGCTTAATTTTTAATTATCTTTGGAGATAAGGTCTCACTATGTTGCCTAGTCTAAATTTGAACTCCTGGGCTCAAATGATCCTCCTGCCTCAGCCTCCCTAGTAGCTGGGACTACAGACTCACATCACTGTACTTGGCTCAACAGTATTTAATTTAATTTAATTTATTTATTTTGAGTTGGAGTCTCACTCTGTCACCCAGACTGGAGTGCAGTGGCATGCTCCCGGCCACTGCAGCCTCTACCTGCTGGGCTCCAATGATCCTTCCGCCTGAGCCTTCCAAGTAGCCAGAACTACAGGCACATGCTGCCATGCTTGGCTGATTTTAATTTATTATAGAGACAAGGTCTCACCAAGTTTCCTCGGGCTGGTCTTGAACCTGTGGACTCAGGCAGTCCACTTGCCTCGGCCTCCCAAAGTACTGGGATTACAGGCTGAGCCACAGAGTCCGGCCTCAACAGTATTTTAAAGATAAAAATGAACAGGTGAATGAAGAGATATATAGGAGGAAGCATGGGGGAAGGGTCGCAAAGCTTCCTTCCACCTCTCTCTCTCTGGGCACCTTACTCTACATATGTTCTACAGCTTGGACAGATTGGGACTGGGTATAGTGGCTCACACCTGCAATTCCAGCAAGTTGCATTTTGATTTTAGTCCAAACCTTGCCCTTTTGGGTTTTTAGGAAGGTTCGTTGTATGGCATGATTGATTAAATCATTGACCATTTGTGATCAACTCAACTTTTAGACCTCCTTTCCCTTTTCTAGGTTAGGGAGTAGGGCTGAAACTTTAAAAAAATTTTTATTATAAAGATGTGGGGTGCGTTTCAGGGTTAGGTGTACAAACATTGAAGGGCTGAAACTTCTAACCCTCTAATTACGTTGTTGGTTCCCCTGGCAACCAGCACTTGTCCAGAGGCTATTTAAGAGCTCCCTTAGCTGTTAGAGTATACAAAAAGATGATGGTCACTTCCGAGATAACGGGTTTTAGGAACTTTGTGCCAGGAATATGGACAATGACCAAAGCAAATAGATACTTTCTTCTCGTTTGGTTAAACTTCCATTTTCTTTTCCCTGGATTGACTATTGCAGACTTAAAAGCACAGGTTTGGGGGGTGGGGGGAAGCGCAGGTTCCTGTTACAACAATCAAGTTAAGATTGGTCTCCCTCCTTTGAGGTTTACTTTGTCAAATTCATCCTGTCCACATTGCTGCCAGGGTTATTTTGCCAAAGTATAGATGTCACTCCTTTTTTTTTTTTTTTGAGTTGGAGTCTCACTCTGTCACCCAGACTGGAGTATAGTGGCCGCTCCAGCCACCGCAGCCTCGACCTGCTGGGCTCCGGCGATCCTTCCGCCCCAGCCTTCCAAGTAGCTGGAATTACAGGCATGCGCTACCACGCCCGGCTGATTTTTTGATTTATTGTAGAGATGAGGTCTCGCTGCCCAGGCGGGTCTCGAACCCGCTGGCTCAGGCAATCCAGTCACCTCAGCCTTCCAAAGGCGCGGGATGACAGGCTGAGCCACCGAGCCCGGCTAGATGTCACTTCTTAAAAAACATATTCAACAGTGATCCTCCATGGTCGGGGTTCAGTTTTTCAATACAGTATGTACATTATGGAATTTTA